ATCGAAATCCAAGGTATGTGAAGAACTAGTAACAAGCAGATCTAAGTCGGCCAAGTGTTTGCCCAAGTCGACTGGACTCGTCGAGTCCATTAAAGTGACTCAGCGAGTCGGAACGAATTCCATCAATTCTTGGGTTTTTTTTAGTGGGCTCCTTCCAGTAGCTTTTCTAATTCATCCAAGTCCTTGTTAACATCTCCTTCTTCTTCAGAGTGTATCACAAACTTGCTTGGATCCTCTTTTAGCAAACGTGCAAGCTCTTTTTCTAATATGTCATCATCCAGTTGGATCATTGAGACTTCTTCAATCTTTTCTTCTTTTTGCTTGATTTCTGGAGTAGCTTTAAACATCACAGCCTCATCACCCACCCTTAATGTCAATGTAGACTCACATATATCAATTAAAGCACACGCGGTGTTCAAGAAGGATCTCCCCAAAATAATTGGAATTTCGGGGTCTTCTTCCATATCAACTACCACGAAGTCTACTAGGAAAATAAACTTGTCAACTTTTATAAGGAGATCTTCACAAACGCCTTGTGGATGAATTATTGTCTTGTCCGCCAAATGGATCTTCATATTCACCGGTTTTGGTTCTGGTAAATTCAAATTCTTAAAGAATGAAAAAGGCATCATATTGATGCTTGCCCCCGAGTTAGCTAATGCTCGGGTGAAGACCTTATTACCAAATTGGCACGGAAGCACAATATTTCCTGGATCACCCTTCTTTTCAGGTAGCTCACTCATCAATACTTCTGCGACTTCAGCCAAATCCTTCCTAGCAGCAAAAAGGCCCTTAAGCAAGTTGAAGTATTTAGGTGTTTGAAGTATTGTTTCCACAAATGGCACATTAACTTGTAGAGCGTTAACATGATTCATGAAGGTTCTGTATGCTTCTACTTTTTCTGCAGACATGGCTTTGATTGGGTATGGCAGCGGAGGCTTATAAGGTTTTGAAGAACTGATAGGTGTTTCAATTTCGCATGGACTCGTCGAGTCCAATGGAGTGACTCGGCGAGTCGGGTCGGGTTTTGCTGGCTCCGATTCTTCTACCTTTTCTTCCTTCTTCTTGGAGATCCTTAGTGCTTCTGTAAATTTTCCTTCACTGCTGGAGGTTAATACGCTTACGTTCTCCATTCTTGGATTGGGTTCGGTGTTGCTCGGAAGTTGGCCCGGTCTTCTTTCATTCACTTGATGTGCAAGCTGTCCCAGCTGTTTCTCAATGTTGAGAATGGATGCTTGCTGATTCCTCAACATGTTTCTGGTTTCTTGCATTGCTACATCATGATCATTGTGTCTTTTCTCGGACGCGGTTATGAATCTTGTGAGCATATCTTCTAAACTGGCCTTCTTTTCCGTCATCAGCTCTTCCTTTTGATAGAATCCCCTCTCCCTCTGTTTGTATTTCTCCTCCTTAGCCTTTTTATATTCTTCGTATGGGAGCCATTCCTTCTTCGGTTTCCTCCAATCTTCATCGTATCTATCGCCACTGGAATAAAATACTTGAGCCTTTTTATTTCCGTTTTCATCTCGATCACAATCCTTGGTGAGGTGGGGGCCGCCACAATTTTTGCATCCTACCCTAATAGCATGGATTGTTTGATCCATTATCGTCATTCTTCGGTCTAGGCTATCGAGTTTAGCTATTATTGCCGCCATGCTATCGTTCACCGAGTTCACTGCTCCACAACTCACTTCATTCCTCGGATTGTGGTATTCTCTAGAATGCTTGGAGAATTCTTCAATTAATTCCTTTATTTCTGGAGGTGGCTTTCTGGTGAGTGGGCCTTGTGAATCGAGTAGTTGCCTCGTGGTGACATTAACTCCATCATAAAAGATGGAGACCTCTTGTTGGCTATTAAGGTCATGGTGTGGGTAATTTCTAAGTAGGCTCTTGTACCTTTCCCAAGCTTCATAAAGAGATTCTCCGGGTTGTTGCTCGAAGTTGGAAATGGCTTTCTTTAGCTTGGCTATCTTGGAAGGTGGGCAAAAATGGTCTATGAACTCTTCTTTCATCTTGGCCCATGTGGTGACCAATCCGGGAGGGAGTGACTTTAACCAAACTTTTGCAGCTCCTTTAAATGTGACAGGAAGCATGCGAAGAAGCTGGATCTCGCGAGGCACATTGGGTACATTGAAGTAATCTGCCACATCATTTACTTCATCCAAGTGCTTATAGGCGTCTTCGTGATCTCTCCCGTGAAAAGGAATCTCCTTGAGTTGAGCGAGAATATGTCCCTTTAGCTCAAAAGTAGCGGTTGTGGGAATTGCGGGTTGCACAAGTCTCGGGCCGGTGTCATCACGCATCCTCTTCTTCCATTCCCCCATGGGGATTTCGTCAATATTAGCCATAGCGGTGGCTAAATCGTCTTCAAACTCGGATGTGTGCTCGTATGTGGGCTCGTTTTCTTCCTCGGTCTCGTACTCGGTGTCTTTTTGAATCGGGTCTTCGATTGTCAACGATACACTGGATGCTCCTGATTTGCTACTCCTTTTCTTGCTAAAAATGGATTTGAGGTTTTTGAGTGGTAAGTTCTTTGAAGAAGCGGATTCTCCAACGGTTTTGCCTTTGTTCCTTCTTAATGCGGTTTCCGGATCTTCAAGAGGGGGAACCAGAGGCGTATCAGATCCTCGGGTCATGAACAACTGCAAACAAAACAGAAAACGCGTAAAAAGAACAAAAAAAATTAAATCTGATTCTGCGTTGTACACGCCGAGTCTGGGCGAATGCACTCGGCGAGTCCAAGGTAAAATCAGGGTTTTTATTTTTATTTTTATTTTTATATACCTAAAAACTTAAACAGAAATTAACTGTGTGTAAGATGAATCTTACACAAAGGATCGATTGAATTAGAATTTTAATGCTAATTTTAGAACCGTTCCTCGGCAACGGCGCCAAAAACTTGATGTGTGTAAAACTCATTTAGTTTTAAACCTACTTTAATTATCAAATAACACACAAAAGGCAGTGAACCTATCAATTGTGGTATAGCTAAATAAGCAGGGTATCGAACACAGGGAACGACAAATTAAATTAAAAACTAATTCTATCTAAGTTAATTAAGAAATAGGGGGTTTTCTCTAGTTTTACAAGACTAGAAACTTACTAACTATAACTAATTTAAGACTAGAAAATAACGACTTAACTAGATTCAATAATTGGAAAGGAACTTCTGTTTAGTTCAACTTGGTTAACTCTATGGTTGATTTCAAGGTAATAGTGCAATAGATTAATTCTTTGGGTTGGTTACCGATTCAAGTGATTAGGTTCATGTTCACTACCCTAATCCTTAGCAAATAAACTAACTCAAACAGTGGCCAATTGTTTAATTTAATTATATTTACTAGATTAATTATTCGGGTTAAGTTAGACTTGCAATAGCTAATTAATTTATTATTTTTAATTAACCTCTTGTTTGATGGTCATCTTACAAGCTTGCACATGAATTTACTCAATTTTCTTATTAATTCTAGTTTCATATTCATTAATCCTAGACATATAGTATAGTGGTCACATATCATATGAGGTCAATAATCAATAGATGTTCATGCTAATCAATTATCTTCCTATTAACAGAAAATTAATTATTATTCACACACAAGGTTCTTTAGCAAGCTAAAATAACAAAAATTCACCAACTTGGAATTAATCCTACCAATCAATCAAACCATATTGTCAACTTTGTATCCCCAAACAGAAGTCTAAAGGTTTTAGTTCATAATTAAAGTAAATAACAGCAAACAAACAAAGTCAAGTTGCTTAATCATATTGATAAAACAAAAGAATAAGTGGAATGATGAAATTGTGCCTTAATTACTCCCCGAAATTGAATTCTAGCTTTCTTTGTCGACTTCTAGGGTTTTTATGGCTTCTAAATCGCAGCAAAACACTTCTGAATCGTCCCAGAACTCCCTCTAATCGATCTGTGGAGTTATCTTTAAATAAGCGAATCGACTCGTCGAGTCAAGTGGTGACTCGTCGAGTCCCTCTCACATTCCCTGTATTGCGATAACTATCTGGAATCCCGAGTCATTATCTTAATGATCCTTCGACTGGACTCGTCGAGTAGGCTATCTGACTCGACGAGTAGGTGCCATTTTTAGTGTTTTTCTTCTTCATTCCATTCTCGAGCTCCTAACCGCTTCTCCTGCTTCCTTTTGCTTCCGAGCTTCATCTTTGGACTGAAAAACATAATTTAACACTTTTAAGTATCTTTTGTCCATAATATGCGATAATTTAGCTAATATATGAATAAAAAACTATACTTAATACACACTAAATATGCACATATCAGGGCCCAAAATATGCTATGGATGGTTTTAAGACAATCGTGGAGTGATCAGAATGTAACCTAGGCAGAGCTGTGACACTGGAAGATGGTTGGGAACAGATGAAATTTGAGCAAACAAGGAACCGGTCAATTTTGCTGAATTTATGCCCTTCCTCCCTATAATAAGTGTATTTTAAACCACCCATTTTAAGTTACTTTAACCCTGCGTTGGCAATGAACTGGTTAAAATCTGTTGTAGTGTATTTGCAGAAGGCTGAGTTGAGCCTTTAGTCCCTCCTGTAAACTGTGTTAAAGTTGCCAAAAAACACTGAAATCCCGCCACTGTTCTTGATATTTAGGAGTCCCCCCCCCCATAGTTTTCTCTTGTCAGTGATTCATTGCGGAGAATATACATTAACAAGAGTGGTGTATCCTGGTATTCCCATCTAGTTACCTGATATTACTAGGAAGTACCTCGAGGAGATGACATTTGATTTGAGGAAAGACTTTGGATCCCACATACAAAGTACAACACCGGATTTCCCATGTGGAGGTATAATTTCATATTCCACATCGGTGTTACCCCAACAGCCTTAGACATCGTCTCTTGATAACTTAGCGATGTGAGTTTCTTGTACCCCCAAGAAATCAATTTTTTGTTTAATTCTCAGTTCCTTGACCCAGTTAATTTTTCGAGGCTCACTCAACCCCCTAATATTGATGCTTGGTAAATTCATTTGGAAACATGAATACCACCTTCGCCATTTGCATCCACCTCCAAAACATCTTCCAAGATTCCAGTGTTATCCTCCCCAATATGGAATCCGACTTCATTCCTAATTTTACTAATGCTTGAAATTTCATTTGAGGAAGAACATATATCCACATGATCGCCATTGTTGCTTCCAACTGAGAGTGCAACATTAAGATCAAAGGATTTATCAGAAACTAAAGTGAGATGGTTACTTGGCTGGAACTCAAGGTCGAGATTACGAAAGACTGATGTATTGAGATTAGAGTTGGGGATAAGGTGGATGAGTTTCCTTTTTTTGGATTGGGATTTTGTGTGTTTGGTGTTAGTATGCATCATATGGGCTACCGAATTGGTGTGAGAGTTGTTATCCATTGGACTGCAGAATTTACCTGGAGATGGTGGGTCATAAGGCCCGTTATTTGGTTGGGAGGACTTTGAACGACCCAGAGTTAGGACTGCCCCTTCCTCAGATGAATTGACTTTTGCATTTAATTCTTCTCTCTCATCACGACCTTTCGAAAACTCACCTTCTCCCGCCAACTACTTACCGTCTTCGGTGGCTATTCCGTAAGCCTCATATCCTTTCATATTAATCTCACCGTCTTCGATCCCTTCCATCATGTCCCGGTTAATCCACATTTATGAGATACCTTCTTCGTCTGAATCTTCCCCAAATATGTCACCTTATTCATTTATGGCATCATTATCCTCAGAATCACTAACTTCCGACAAAGGGGCTTCTGGAAAGCTTCTATCGAGGAATGGTTCCGACTTGTTTTCACTCTCATTGATGCCTACTTGGAACTATTTCCCGTTGAAGGTTGTGACCACTTCTTCATTTACGAGCTTCCACGAATTAGTAAGGATGGTTGCATAACATGAGGATAGATCCACTGTGTAACGTCCGAAAAATACGACCCAAAAAATTTATTTAAAAAACAAAACTTTACTGAAACCATATTTATAAAATTGTATCATAAGTCATACATAATTTCATAGTATTAATTCAAACATAAGCTTATTATCAGAGTAACACATCCCAGGCTAGCTGACTATGGTGTGTGCACTGCAATTCCTCCGACCTCCTCTTTTGAAAACTTAGTACCTGAAACCAAAACCTGAAACCGTAAGCACGAAGCTTGGTGAGCTCCCCCAAAGTACCACATACCATACAATAACATATAAAGCACATACTGGGTCGTGCCCACTGCATCGGACCGAGGTCCGGACTGACTGGGGCCTTGCCCCTGCATCGGACCGAAGTCCGAAAACTGACTGGGACCTTGTCCCTTGCATCGGACCGAAGTCCGGACTAACTGGAGCCTTGCCCCCTGCATCGGACCGAAGTCCAAAACTGACTGGGACCTTTTCCCCTGCATCAGACCGGAGTCCGGACTAACTGCATCGGACCGAAGTCCGGAACTAACTGAACAAAGCATAACATAAACATATCAACTAGCATGAACACACATATACTGCATACTGCATCGGGCCGTAACCCGGAACACATAACACATAAATCCTGTCTAAGCCACGAAGGCATCAAACATACTAACTACTGCATCGGACAAAAGTCCGGAAACTACTGCTAACTTAATGGGCCAACATTGTGGCCTTAGACCCGTTCCACTGGAAGGAAACTCACCTTGGAATGATGTCTGCTGAGAACTCGAGTGAAAGATCCCCGACTGCTGTCCCGGCTGCTCTCCAGCTATCATGAGAAGTCAAACACTAAATCAAAAGGGGAATCATTTGATGGGTAAAATGACCATTTTACCCATGCTATGGCATGGGTCACAATATAGCCCAAACCCTCAATTCCTTCCAAGTCCATCCATGGCCCCACTAATGGCCCAATTTTTTGAATTGGGCCTATGCCCTCATATGGGCCCTACCAGCCCACAATAATCTTGGCCCAATAATCTAACTTCTGGAGATCCAACAACATGATAGACTTTCCAAGCTTACTATTGGCCCATTAATGGCCCAACTTGCTATATTGGGCCCAAAGCCCTTTATTGGGCCTTACCCAAGACCAATACTAAATCCTTGGTCCTTAGCAACCGATGATGGACCATTAAGGCCCAAGGACCCTAAGTTTGAAACTCAGCCCACACCGAGGCCCAATATGCACAAAGCCCAACTCCGCTGAGTACACTGGGCGTACTCCATTGTACGCTAAGCGTACTGGCCTGTTGGTGAGTACGCGGGGCGTACCTTCACTTACGCTCGGCGTAACCATCCTGTTAAGACACTTTTCCATTAAGTGCTTAATTTCCCACTCCAAAGGCTACTAACTCAGATCCAGGTCCATACTGATGTCTTAGTCCATAAAGTCACTAACTTGGTGACTTGCAATTCACCAAATACATTCAAACTCAAAAGGTGACCATACACTTCTAAAACCAAGGCTAGATCTCATGCATGAGCTCATTGGGACCATAAAGATTGGAACTTTACTGCTTATGGGACTCATATGAATATAAGGGAGGTCTTAGAAACGAGCTTAAGTCATAAAGTATCAATCTTGGGACCAAAAAGGTCCATAAACTTGTACTAAGGATATCTAAGAGGTTAATCATCAAGCTCAAGACTTTTTACCTTACAGAGGTCCACAATGAAGCACTTATCCTAGATCTACAAGCTCTAGCTTCAAAGGTTCCTCCTTACCAACCTTCTTCTCTTTTCTTCCAAGCTTTAATCCACCAAAATGGGTTCTCCAAGGTTAAGATCTCATAAAATGAAGGTAGGGACGTTCTAGGGTTTCCTTTGAGGTTAGGGAGGCTGATATGGGGGCTAGGGTTGGAACCATAATGTCCTTTATATAGTGCTCAATCCGAAATTAGGGTTTCATAACTTTTAGCGTACGCTGGGTGTACGCCTTAGACATCCGCGACCAAGTTGCCAGCTTACGTTGGGCGTACCCACGCGTGTTCCAAACATGCATGTCTGGCTTTCCATGCAAACTTTTCTCTATAAGGGACGTTCTCGCCAAATCTTCAAAGTGTCATAACTCCTTCATTCTAGATCCGTTTCTGATGAACTTTATATCCACGGAAAGGTGGCGAGAAATCCTACGCTTCTAACAACACACTCTGGCCTGAATACTTCTTAAATAATAACTCCAATTTTAATAAAGGACTAAAACGCCCCTGGCCTTGGCCTATAAAATTCCATAAACGAATATTTTAGAACAGGGCATTATAACTCTCCCCCACTTAAACTAAACTTCATCCTCGAAGTCCGCTACGGTCAACTGACCTACAATCCGCCTTCCACACCCTGCCTGGTGACTCTAACCCTTTTATCCATCACTCCAGCCACTCTCAGTGTTGGTCACTATTGTTGGAACATACTAAATGCTTCTTATTTCCATATATTAGTGTTGAGCACCCGTCCCAGCAAATGGATCAGACAATCCTTCGAGTGAAAGATTCATCACTGCAATGGTTAAGACTCATACGAGAGCTGCGCAACAAGGTCAAACCCTCCACTCCGAGATTATCCAACCCTGCTACGAGAGGCGTAACACCATCTGTCAACTTGCTGCCTCTGACTCAAAATTCTGTTGCCCCTCATCCTCCTACCGGATGCACTGAGACCACCCTGGTCCAACTAATCTGCCAATACCTGGATTACCGGACTCCCACCGATCACTACATCCCATCGTAATCTCCTAGTCGCTCCCAGCGGCTTCTGAAGATACTTCGACTATCTATAACTGTTCTATCCACTCTGCCACCCATATTGAATCGATGCTGCTGGAACTAGCCTGCTTATTTCTCATCCGACTACTCAACGTCTAATAACTCGTATCTTCCATCCTCAAAGAAAGGCTACCTGCCCAATCATCCTTTCAGATCACTTATACTTGGCAGAAGACTCAACTGATCCTGTTGAGAGGGATTTGTCATTTCAAATCGACCAACTATACTATCAGCACTTGCATTCCAACACAATTACTAATACTGGACATCACACTGCAACTACCCAAAACACTGAACTGCCTGCAATACTGAACTTCCTGAAACACTGAACTGACTGAAACACTAAACTGACCGAAGCACTGAACTGGATGAAACACTAAACTGGCTGAAGCACTGAGCTGGCTGAAACACTGATATGGCTGAAGCACTGAACTGGCTGAAACACTGATCTGCACGAAATACTGAACTGCCTGAAACACTAAACTGACTGAAGCACTGAACTGCTATATGGCTGCTTCCCAAAATATCTCGAGACCTTCCTGCTCTCCAATCATTCATCGGTTATTTACAACACCAAGTTCCAACTCAACTGTGGAGTCCAAGGACTCCTCACTTAGTCTCTCCCATGACTCCTGAACAAAATCTTTCTCTGGAACTAGTTTCCACTAGTTATCCTATCACTGCGGCTCTATCAACCTCCCGATCCATCGATCAGGTCCAAACGTCACATCCTGATGTCATCATATCCAGGACTAAAAATGATGGCTCCCAGACTAACGGTAGCCCTTAACATACACGAACCTAAACGGTCCACTGCTTCCCTGATCTTATAATTGTGGAGACAATCCAACTATCGAATCGTCGGCTTAACCATAACTGAACCATTTGGGAAATCCGAAATCTAACCGGTGGATTCCCATATCCTTACTACTAAACCCAAACTGGTGGGTACTACTGCTTCCCTCGCGTTCAAACAATGCACTCATGCAGACTATTGACCTGATGAATTTTATGGCTACATCCGCAGGCTCACAACTCCCTAGTACGATTTGGCTGCTAGTAACTGCTATGGCTACCCCTGCAGACTTACAACACTACTGCTATCTGACTGCTAGTGAATGCTACGGCTACCCCCGCAGACTTACAACACTACTACTACTATCTGACTGCTAGTGTATGCTACGGCTACCCCCGCAGACTTACAACACTACTACTACTACCTGACTGCTAGTGTATGCTACGGCTACCCCCGCAGACTTACAACACTACTACTACTATCTGACTGCTAGAAAAAAATGTTGCGGCTTTCCCACCGCTCTACCATGCTTTGTATCTGCTACTAACTACTAACACGGAAGCATCTCTTGCTAACTGTTCTCAAGATCCTCATCCCGACTTACTAGAGTCCTACAGGTGGTCCTCCAACCTGGATTCCCAACCAGCTACTAACCACCTTGAATATATGAACTATCTGTTGGGAAGTTCCTCAAACTCCCAATCCTGAACTCCTCAATCCATCAATCGTTGCTACTATCTTTTCTTCTCAGAGGTCGCGTACCCATTATGGATCTGCATACTCTTACCCTTGAATACTCGAAGGGTTCTCCCCCACTTGGATCTAGCTAACTCCTTACTGCTTACTGGTCGAAAGGATTCCCCAACATTCCTTCCATAAAAAGGGCAATCCACTTCCCGCCCACGTTTACCTCTGATGGCGTTCCCTCTAACCCTTACCAGATCCGAATCATTCTTGCTAACTAACCGAGCACCCTTCAATCCTTAATTGTACTTGTTTTAATGACTGCATCCTAAGAGCTTGCGCTTAGGTGAACATCTCAAACCCACTTCCATATCGACTGCTAGCTACTCCACTAGAAACTCTGGATTGTCACTACTGAGAATATAACTGATCATTACCCGACTAACACCTTC